TTACAGTGAGCAAATCGGTCAGCTCACAACATGGACACCACCCCATATGACCGAATGGCTCACAGAAGTTAAAAACACAAGGAAAACCATGCAAGACATATGCAAAACATTGTTAGCAGAATCCAAGAAGAAGGCAATAAGCACAGCTCTCAATATAAGAATAAACTGGATAAAGACAGATAAAAAAAGAATAATAAACAATATCTTGAATAACAAATGTACACAGATTGTATTTGATAAAATTATTATACAAGGAGAGGAATCAGAAGTTATACTGAATGAAAACAAAATCAAGCAAACAGTCAAAGAATATTTTGTCAACTGAACAAAAGCAAGCTCATACAACATGATTACAGATGAATAGATATATAAATACATACTGATAAAACACATTTAAACATAATAGTACAAGGACTTGACATTCAAGATCAACATTGAGAAACTTACAAAAGTAATAAGAAATATAAACAATAAATAAGCACCTGAACTATTACAAATACCATATAAAGCTTTAAAAAACCTAGGAGCACAAGCAAGAAAGATAATTAGGAAAATATGCAACAGTATAATAGCTATCAAAAGGATGCCCACAGAGTGGAAATACAGCACTATATATTCAATTCCTAAGACATCAGACTGGAAAAATGATCTATCAAAAATCAGACCAATCACATTGTTAGAGTCCATAAAAAAGATATTCACAAAAATATTGACACTAAGACTATCAAGAGTTCTAACAGCCCATCTGATTTTATCAGAATACAACTGGATAGAATTATTCACGTTAAGTACAAAAGAACCAATTAAAATGGTTAATAGAATAATTGAGAATATCAAGCTTTACAACAAAAAATGCTAAATAGTCTTTCAAGACATATCCAAAGCATATGACAACATTAACATTAACATGCTCAAGTCTGTACTAAAGAAACTCAAGATATCAATCACTTATATTGATCTGATAAGCAAAAATTTTAATGACTGAAGGAACACAGTCATCACAACAGTCAGAAACACGAATCTTTATAAAGTCCTAGGAGGAATTGATCAAGGGAATACGATTTTCCCAATACTTTGGAGAATTTATTATAATCTCCTCATTACCAGAATATCCAGAATAAAGGGCTATATATACATCATAAAGAAGACAATACAAAACAATCCATATGCTCACATGGAAAAAATCAACATACAGTATTAGTCTTTGCATATATGGATAACATCACATGGATAGCAAACAATAGAGAGGAAATGCAGTTATCATAAAAACAGTAGTTATTTTATAATCTGACTGATATTCAAGCAAATCTCCAGAAAACACATATGATAGTGTTCAGACAAGACAACCTACCCACAATTAATCTTAGTGGGGTAGAAACCAAGCACACAGATGATCCTGTGAGGTACCTGGGGATTTGGATACAAAAGAAAGGCAGCAAAAGCTTCCAAAAGTAGTTACTAAAAGAATGGTTAATGCAAATCCTCAACAAACTTAGATGGAAGCAAATAACAAACAAACAGACAATATACATACTGAATCATATGCTATTCTTGAAACTGGAGTATCTTCTCAATGACATGATATTCTCAAACAGGAAAGTTGACAAATTAAACCAAAAAATAAGACATATAGCAAAACACAAACTAGATTTTGCAACAACAGCCCCTAATACTCTCTTTCACAGCCACCTAGAATATAACATATTTGACTTACAAACTAAACAACTTCAGAAACATACAGCAGTTACAAAAGCACTTATAGATCATCACAATATAGTTTTGTACATTATCAAAGCCAATATAAGGAACATTTAATGGATAGTGTGAGAGGGGAAGAAAATGGAGGGTAACGCGGTTTTGGTCACGTGACCGACGATCGACCCAGTATCGCGTCGAAGAAGTAGAGAGTGAAACAGACAGAAACATACGAGTAATAATGATGTAATGAGTGTCATATTATGTAATTAGCGAGAGAAAATATGAGAATTTCTTACCTTTTCTTAATCTTTCTAAAAGTTTCGAAACCTTTCTTGAGAAAAATATATAAATTAGCTGACAAAAAGTAATCATGGAAGGGAGTTGAAGGATACAATTTAATAAAGAAAATACTTACCTTGGCCAAATCTAACGCCTTATCAAAACCCTATCTTTAAAAGAATTTTAACACTATCGTTGCACGAACTTTATCACTCATTAGCGACTGACTCGCCGTAACCATCCCCACAATAGCATAGATATCAACATCAATAACAGACACATGCTCGAAGCTTTTCAGAAACAACTAAAACTTCATACATGACATGTTGAAAAATAGCCAAATATATAATATCAGAATCACAATGGAAGCAAGAAAGGAAGACATATATGAAGATACATATACAAGTTGACAACTATAGAAGAAACAATGGGAAGAGAATAGTTTGGCAGAAACAGAAAGTGACTCAGAAATTGAAAACTAAAATAGATAGAACAACTCCTTAATATGAATATGACCAAATGCAATACATGGATCAGCATTATGAAGATACTCAATATGAAAGCAAGAGGTTGCATCCCAACATTCTATAAGGAAATAAGAAAGAAATTAACAGACCCAACAGACATGCAAAGAATAATGCTCAGGACCTCTGGTAACAAAACAAACATATTCAGAGTATGGCACAAATCATATAAGCTTGCATTAAAGGAACTTAAAAAGCAAAACAGAGACTGAATACTGGTCGACAGTAAAACAAAGCAAACAATAGGAAAACTAAGGAAGAGAAAACAAGACACTATAACACTCAGACACTATATCCAACAGCCACAGATATCATCAATAAAACCATATGAAGGCTGCAAGAAGAACACATATGTTAACAAAAGAGAAAATGTATATATAATATATACATATGGTGTAAATTATTTTGCTGTTAACTCAATTGCCAAAATCTTCAAAAATAATTATGTCTAACTCAATTATTTTATATGTTTTAATAGTGACTTAATTAATTGTGTCAAATAATTGCATCAAATTGCATCAAGAATCTATAATTTTTACCACATGTATAGTACAATACATACAAAGAATACAAGCTGTGTAAGTATACAAGTAGCAAGAACAAAACAAAGTACAAGAGATCCTAATAATACAAGAAGTGAACTAAAGATGTTAATATTATCAACAAGTATTGAAATGATAAGAAAAACAAGAGAAACCAGTAACAAAAACCTTAAAACAGAAGTAGTGATCATACTATCGAAAGAATTTCAAGCAGAAAGTTTGTTCACAAATCTAGCATCAAAAATATTGTCAACAAATTCAGAAAACAGATAGCCACATGGATGGAAACAGAGGCATACATAGATGCAGATATCACAAACAGTAATTACACTATAGCAATCAAAGTTATTAATGTACAGAGAAAATCCTTTAAGTGCATATCCTTTAAATACATATCCTCCTTTAATGTACGGTTTGACATGGTTCCGAGCTTGGGACTTAGTAATAAATGCACATATCCTCTATCCTGCATGTGCAGTAATTTTTCAGTTCCATTTGTATAAACTATTGTTCCTTAAATACATGCATATGATTAATATCTGTATTGACCAATCAGTTTATTGCTATTTTCTTTGTAAATAGAAATTTAATTGTTTGTATTTTGTATTGCATACATAAGCGATGGCCACAAAAAACAGAATTGGGAACAACTAATAGTTGTTATAATTATTGTTTATGTCAATTAATCTATTTAATTATATATCTAAGGAGGGAATTGGGAATAATGGATAATATTTATAATCATTGGTTATGTTAATTTGCATTAATACATGCGAATGTGACAACATACAGCTGTTGTTGTGGCCATTGTCAAATTATCATATTAGATACTGATTGTAAACTATGTTCTTTAGGTCTTCACTTTGTTTATTATCATATATAGCAATTCTTCATTTGATTGTTATCTTTGTGACTGTCAGCATTCGATTTTGCGGGAACTTGTTTTAAATATGGGAACTGTTGAGAATGTTCATATTGTGAATTGTCTTTTATACTTGAAGGAAAAGTAAGAAAACATGAGTAAAATAAACTTAATGGAAGCAAATTTGCATACACTGATGAATACAGTTGGCTTTGATTTAACCATTCCATAGTTATGTATTACATTGATACCTTAATGCTTGATCTCAAATTAGTAGTGTGATAAGCATTAGAAAATAATATAGATGAAATAAGTATGTGACGAATCACTGACATCGGTGTACCTGTTGTTGTTGTTATCATCATCCTTCTCCTTCTCTTTATTACTTGTATATATTGTTGGTGTTTTGTTTGTCACAAAGAAACATTGGGAATTAAAGACTATAAATATATTTCATTTCTTTTTTACTTTTGATATGGTTTGACAGAATTTGATAATTGTTCGTTTTAACAAATAACATTTGAATAAGTATTATTTGCTCTCAAACTAGATTTGCTTTTTGATAGAGTCTTATTTATTAATTTCACAAACCTTGTTATTTACTAACTGTCATAATTGCATATGCTACTGTTGGTATCATTTGAATGTAATAAGACAAGTTATGATTATTTAATAATCTGTTACTTGAATTTTCTAAGTAGTTTATCAAAAAATGTGAAGGTCTTAAAGTACTTAGGTTTTTTTTTTAATATTAGATATTTGTTTTCAAATGCCAGTCGAATAGAGACGGAGAGTTAAGATATATAAACTCTTCAATCAATCTGTACTCTCAAATCAAAGAATATCTGAACAGAAGTAATACCCACCGGTACTGTATCATTGGGAATGCTTTTTACAAGTTGGCTTCATCTTGGTTATGAAGCTCATCCCTGAGGCTACAGGTCCTTTGGTTTTTTCTTTAGAGCAGTTAATTCATGTCTGTGCTTATAATATTAATTCCACTGCTGGTGTTCACATTAGAGCTGTTATCTTCGCAAGATAAGGTAAGTATTCCATTTGCTATATTCGTTTTCATTTTGTGTGTTTGTTCTTTCTCTAACCACTCTTGTCTTCATTTGTATTGGTGGTCTTGGAATTATCCATCTGTCCATCCATTCGTCTGTCATTATCTTGGTGTGGTTCGCAGCATCCGTAATTCGTTTTGGTCTTGGAGATTTGTCATGGTAATTATAGTTTTGATTGTTGATGTTGTTTTTCACGTACTTCCGTTGATTTCTTTTCTGTAGATCCTTGCGTCATTGCAGCGTTTGTCTTTGTCATAATTAGAGGGCGATGCGCGATCGTGACCGTGATCACAATTATGATGACTTTTCTAATAATTATGGCTAGTATCTTGTCATTATAGTGTAATTCTGGTAAGTCACGATGTTTTCTTTCTTTTTGGCATTCTACCGTAGCTTCTAACTTTTTCTTACCAGTCTTTCCCTTGATAACCAACTTATTTGAGAAATTGTAGAAACATTTAAAGATATCGATGAAACAAATATTGAGGAAATGGATGACAGTATTGAAATTCCTATTGTAAGTGCCATAGTACATTAAAGAGTTTAGAAAATGTACAATTGTTTTTGTTACAACAAGAGAATACAAGTAAACAGATAAAACTATTAAATAATCTTGAAAAATTTGTTAATAATAAGAGAAGTAGTCAAATGAAACAAACAACCATAAATCAATATTTTAATTAATAATAAAATAAACAAATATATTAATATTAATTAATATTGTTTCTGACCTACCCGGTCATAATCCAGTGGGCTAAGGCAGGGTAGGGCTAACCTATAACCTACGGTTCAACTCCAGCTGGAGGATAATTCATTTCTCAACTAGCCCCTGTGACTCATAATAGAGAGCAATTTGGATTGTTCCGATGATCAAGGAGCTTTATGGGTAGATTACACCCCATAGGTTGAAAGATAGATGATCTGATCGGTAAAACTTTCTGATTAAGTATTGCCCAGGAAATATCTCCATAAGGGGAAAGAAGTTTCATGGGATCTTTCCGGTAGCAGAAAGAAAGGTACAGACGGCTAAAACCATTAGTCACACAACTATTAGTAAGAGTTTTACATATTCAATAGTAACGAGGATCTGGTCGGGGCTGCAGAAGGTTGCATGTATCACAGGATGTTCTATTCTAAGGGTACATTTGCAATGATTGACTGCATAATTCCTATAAAACGTAACCCCCCACATGTGTTGCTAGGTTAGATTAGGAAAGGTAAGGCTGGGTCTGATCCCTAGACAAGTTTGGTGTACTGGTATACCCTCATTCCGCCAATGATATCTCACTGACTAAATCCTAGTAAGTCTTGGCTAAACTGAATGGTTGTAAAAGGTAGCAGACTTAATCCGGATGGTCGTAGTTACCTGTAGGTAGATTCTAGTTTAGATAAGTATTAGGATGGCCCATTAATATAGACTAGAGTAAAGTCTCACTTAGCAGTTTAAAAAAAAAAAAAAATTAATATTGTTTCTATTACTATTATATAATAATGATGTTATATAAATTATTATTTTCTCTAAATGCATACAATAGTCTGGTGCCAATGGTGTACACTTAGAAGATTTTTTTTGTATTATTTAAATAAACTGAAAATCAAGAAAAATCCTTTTAAATGTTAAAATGATATTTAATCTTTGCACCAATCCTGAGATATTCTGACTTTAATCAACCATTCTACCTTCATGTTGATACTTCTGATATTAGATTAGAAGCAGTTCTTGCTCAACAAGAAGGAAAACAAGAATATATTATTATATATGCTAATAAATGTTTGATCAAACCTGAACAAAACTATTTCACAACTAAATAAGAATGTTTGACAGTAATTTGGGCTGTTAAACATTTTCATCAATATCTTGAAACTAGTCATTTTTATCTTATAACCAATCACTCTGCTCTCTAATGGTTGAAAATATCCAAACTTAAGGGAAGAAGAGCCAAATGGATCCTATGTTTAGAACTCTAAAACTATCCTATTTATATGCCTTGTTGATGCGTAAATACCCAGTATATGCTATTACTAATTATTACATCA